TAATTAATAATAAATTTGGAATTTTAAGCAACTTCCGCGCAAAAACTTTCGCCACGTCTACCGAAGCTTTAGCCACCTCGTATCGAAGGTATAAGACGTTTATTTGACAATAATTATTGTAAGATATCTATAGACAAAAAAGCAGCTTTGTAGATTGTAATTTAATCCCGGTATGAGTTATTATTCAGAGCGGCTTACAGTGAATCGGCGCAGCGACTGCGCTCGGGAGATCGTGCATTCCATTGCGTCTATCAAGGCTTTGCACCCTTAGATGATCGGTAGACTGTTTTTTTTTTGGTTCTCTTATAAACTAAAGTATTTGAGAAAAAAAATTCAGCCTTGTAGAAATAAGTCAAAAAAGTTAATTTTTCAACACCTTGCGTGGGTGGTAGACCCTTGATGGCCCCCCTTCCGACGCGGTAGACTATCACTATACTGTATTTTTAGGTATAATTGATCACTCTAAAAAGTTTCAGCCTTGTAGGTATAAGGCATTTAAGTATTATTTATTTACATGTTTAAAAAATTGTTACTAACGTTTGCCCCCACATTGGCGCGGTAGACTGCCGTTCCGTTTACTTACGATATCAAAACAACAAAATGAGAAAAAATCAGCTTTGTAGGAATAATTACATCAATAATGTCGCTGCCTCCCGGGCTATTACAAATGTCTCAAAAAATTCAGTAAATGTGTCAAATTACCTGAGCGTGCAAAAAATCAATTTGACACATTTGAAATATTTACATGATATTGAAAACTAAAGTGACTAGGACCTATGCTGTGTTAGACACCTGAGACAATCACTTCCATATAGTGGCAAAGGGTAGAAGCTGCGTAAAGGTATTTAGATGCTACTTGCAATTGCCAATTCGATCATTCCCCATCAATTCATGTTACTAGAACCGCATGAATTTTACAACTTCTCATACTAAGAAATAAATAAAAGCGCAATGTTAGCTTTACTGTTTAATTCGTACTAGTCGTCATTGTGGAGCTTGTATTTGATTGTAAATTGCATTAAACACTGGCTTTGGCCGCCAACAATTTGTGTTTATGACCAGTTCGAAAGAAAACATCTGTGACTTGAATAAAAGAATATGTACTTCCGGATTGAGAAGCGTGTGAAGTTTTATTTGACTCACGAACTGATAGTTCTTTTGAACCATCATCTTACTGATTCAAAGACGTTTTTATAGAGACGCGATACAAGTTTCCTTGCTCATTCTGTTAATCTCTGGCTTTGCCGAGCGACCGACCTTACACGCGTAATGATCGTATAGTACGTTCGATTCTATAAACACCGGCTATTCCCATTACCGGTACCGTTATCCGCGAGGCTGTTAATCTATTTTTTAGCGTCGTTTGTTGCAGGTCGCAGAGGATGGCTAGCGGAGCCCGGCCAGGCTCCCTGGTGCCACCCAGAGCGAACGGCACAGCTTACCCAGGACAGGCGTCTCCAGACGGGCCCCGAGTCGAGTCGTGCGCCAGGGTCGACACCCACTATGATCTCACCGTGGCCGCCGTCGTCTCCGTGTACATCATCTTCGGGATACTGTACACTTTTTTAGGTAAGTCGAAATATGCGATTAGAGGGTGCTTTCTAAGTCCGTTCAGAATTGTTGGTTGTTCCTCGACTATCTTAGATTAAAAGGTCTTCATTAATCAAAGGTCTAAAACCGCTGGTTTTCAAGATACAGGATAAGGTTAGGTATTGCTTTTTCAAGTGATATTATTTTTAAAATTGGCATTGCTTATGTGAATATTTATACAGGGTGTTTTATGTCGAAAAAGATTACTTTTTCTTTATATAAATGTGGGTCCAAAAATTCTTCCTAAGGAAGTTATAGCCACTTAAAGGGACCACTCTGAGAATATTTTTTTCTAAATAAATCATTGCTACAAAAAAACAGGTAGTGGCGAATAACTGTCAAAATTAATAGAAACAAGAGATTATCTAAATAAAGCCAGAGCCTACTGGACCATTTTAAGAATTTCAATTTCATCTAACGAATTACACAAAATCGTTTATTTTTTTTTTCTCGATAACGGTCGCAGATATGAAAAAATTATAAGATACCAAAAAGTTTCTCAACAAAACTTAAAATTCAATTTTGATTTTAGAATCCACCAGCGGCGCACCGCACAAAAGTTCAGTGGAAGAAATGGGGGCATGACCGGTAAAATATCACTCTGTAGAATATCACGACCATTAGGTATGCCCAATGATGCAAGCCCTACAGCCTAACCTATATTCCAAAGTTGAGCTAAATATCTCAAAATCTGGGAGCTATAGAGAAAAAACAAAACAAAAAAAATCTTAAAATTTCAACACCGTGTAAATCGGTAACGAAGCGTTTGCGGACCTATGTTTATATGAATTTTTAGTCATGAAATAAGCCAAAGAATTACTCCCTCCTTATGTACATGATATTTAGGAACACCCTGTATATTGTCAATTTCGATTGTCGGTGATTAACACATGTAAGATTATTTTTAAACGGATTTTCCACAAAAACGGAACATTCTACCAATCTGAACCAAGGGTACCTTTTTTTTTACTAAAAAACTGATATTGCATATTTTTCAGTGAAAAGTCAAAAAAGTGAAAGCATAAAAAAGTTATAGTAAATTGTCAATTTCGTTTTTGCAGCGGACTTAGCACGTAAGAGTTAAGCTAGTTACCAAATTTCATAAATTTATTTCATCTCGTTTCGGAGTTATTTAGAAAAAAACATAATCAGAGTGGCTCCTCTAACTGGCTATAACTTCCTTAGGAAGAACTTTTGGACCCACCTTTATATAAAGAAAAAGTAATCTTACGACATAGAATACCCTGTAGAAATATTGCCCCTTATTTTCGGGACACCCTGTATACAGGGTGTTACAAATTTGTAGGACAAGCCGTTAACCAAATTCTCTGGACTAAAATAATGGGACTTTTCTTATACCATTTTCCATTTTGGAGCCTAAATCAAAATTTTAAAAATTATTTTTTTTTAATAGTTGCGGTGTTTTAGAGATATTTGTTTGAAATTTGGCACATATTATTATTTTAAGTAGCCACATTTTCTTTGTAATTTTGGTGTAAAATATCAAAGCACTATCGGAGAAAAAGGGAGTCGTAGTACCCTATGCAATTTCTTTTTAGTACGCCTATGCTTTCAGAATATTTTTGTTAGATATAGCGTATCTTTATTCTATTTTATTTCACTCTTATAAGATTTTGATTTGGGGATCGTTTTATTGAGATATTTGGACACGTGGCGTCGGTTTAGACGACGTTTTTAAATTGTCCAGTTTCTTTTACATTAGAACTAAGTTTAAAAAAAAAAAATTCTTGGATAGTTCCGAATGTAATATGTTTCTGCTTAATATCTAATACTAAATTAGAGTTGGAATCCGAACTTTTTTAAGATTTTAATATTATTTATTTTTTCTTAATACTTGATCAGTGGATTGGCAGGTGAAGGCTTGCAGCTGTCAAATGGCCCGACCTCAATCCGTCCGACTTTAGTTTCTGGTGTTTTAGAAAAGATTTCGCTTATGTGGCTCCAATAGTAACTAAACAACAACTAAGGAAATTGATTGTACACGGTGGAGACCACATAGGTTGAAACCACATATTTTTTAGAATACTCGTTACTCTAATTAAAAAAGCCCTAGTATGTATTCGTGAAGGTGGTACACATATTGAACATTTAGTTTAATGTAATTGAATTTGTCTAATTTTACTATTAGTTTTTAGTTGTGCCGTTTTTTATTTCAATTTACTGAATAAAATTAGCGATATTTAATTTATGCCAAACCTAACACATGCAAAGAAGTTGCAATCTCTCGTAAACCCAACCCCAAATCAAAATTTATAAGAATGAGAAAAAAAAAAGAATAAAAACACGATCTATCTAAAAAAGAGAATATGAACACTGTTGATGTTTTAAGGGGCAAAAATAAGTTTATATTCCTATTTAGCTGTCTCAGAAGCCCTTCCTATTAAATTTTAGAGAAATTTGTTTAAAAGTAATGTAGTTATTTTAAAGAAATGCAATATAAGTTATTCTTTGAAGGCTTTTTAAGAAAGGAAATTGTGCTAACGTTATCTGACCTAAATCGCCCTGTATATACTTTCTCCCAATTGCTTCAAAATTTGTGCAATTTAGAGGCACCTAGTTAAACGTTATCGAAGAGTAAATCATCGATTATTACCAATTAAACGAGAAACCTTCGTCTATTTTAACCTCAAAGATTGGTTACCCAAATAAATCACTAATTTTCAGAAAATTGATATTTCTGATTTCTTACATGATAATTTACGTTCGTACAAGGAAGCTGTTACATTGGACTCGAATTCATTGTACGACTGCATTCAGTTTTTACTTACTTTGTTTTAAGTTTAACAGTAAAACCCCTTAAATTTGATCCCCATTGTGATATGTAGGTACATTTTTTGTCCCACCATGACCGTATTTTATAAACACCTAGTTCTTTTACTTCAACACCTGATTCTCATATCATAATAGTTTAAATTTTTTATTCATGTTCCATAAATAATTCAAATGGTGTTATTTAAAAAATGACAATTCAACTGAAGTTACAAAAATCGACACGGATAATTGCATTGAAATCTGCAAATTCCTAAAGATATAATATAGTTTACAAATCGGTCTCGAACTGACTCTACAATGAATCCATAAACTAGAACTAGACCGACGTGTTGATGTTGATGAATTCTGTGATTGAATTTAACCCAATTTCCTTCATTGTTCGCCATTTCCCACAACCGTTTCGCAGAACGCAATTCACGTTGCGACATTCAATAACGTCTCATCAATTTTGCAAATTAATTGTATCTGTTTTATATAAAACATTCACACACGTGGAATGGAGCCAGTGGCGGCTCGTGAGCTTAAAAGCAGATGCGAGTGTGTATAGAGTACCAGCCCTAGCAACTAAATGGATGAGCGATTATTTTGGCAATGACAGTTAATGTTTTAATAAGGTAAAGTGATCTTAGAAGCAATAATTTATTAAAGAGGAAAGCTAAATACAAATTTTGTACGGCAATAGAACCTAAATGCCATTGGGATCTCGATTGAAACATTGACATGTTATAAAGGCCAAAGGGGTCGTTACGAATTATCAAATCCAGTGGGGGTTTTTGAGTTCCTTACCAGGGAGGTCGGAAAAATTTAGGTACAACGCATTGAAAAAAAAACCTGTGTAATTTTATTTTAAGTACTACTGAAATACATATAGGATAAATGTGCTTAACATTATTTTTTATAGTACACGTCCATTTTTCTGCTTTTGTCCGAAATAAACTACTTCAATTATTTTGTCATTATAATGATTGGTATTTCTCGCGCAATTGATTTTTCAGTAGATAGCTGTTAGTCTATCTTTACAATCTGATTTAAATTTTTACAGTCTTTTAAAAAACACACAAGCAACAATACGTAGGTAATAAAATTTTACACCACACGTAAATAAATTACGTTTGATAAGAAAAATAGGGGTGAATAACTATGATTTAGTGTATAGTAAATATGTGTTACTCGCGTTACGTCTTTCATTGCTGCGTGACGGTAACCGTGACCACCACTGTAAACACTTCGCAGATTTAGAGGCGAGCTACGAGGAGTGAATACAGTGAATATGTGGGATTCACTGTTTTTCAAATGAACTTTGCAAGTCGAGTTAAATTCATTGCAATTACACATTTTATATTATGTAGAAAACATTATAAACTTCACATTTTGTAGCTTTAAGGTTTAATAGACTCTTTCAGTGTGACGTCGCGTATTTAGGCAACCCGCAACAAATTGTCATAGTTGAAATTGCACAGACCGAATCTGACCCTTATGTACTATTTACATAGGTACTATAAAAATTCAAAATAATTTATTTTTACAAGGATTTAAAAGTATTTAAGAACAAATAACACGTGTTTGGTAAAATTGATATACTAATGTGCTTAAAACGATATAAAAGAATATAGGTACCTAAATTTAAATAAAGCAAAAATTTAACATTAGCCATGTTATTCCTAATGCGCATGCTCGGAAATAATAGCCTCATACGCAGGTGAGATCTTGTTGATATGTCATCGCTGTCATCATTAGCGTATTTTCTCTTCTTTTGTTTAATCTTGGCATTTTCTAGTTCTATTAAATATTTTTGTGTGTTTATCGAGTGTTTTCTTCAAGTGGTTTATTATAGGCGTTCTCTTAAGGGCCCCATATTCTTTAAATAGTGTTTTCCGCAAAGACAAATAATTTCAAACATTTAATAACTGAATAATCTAAAGCTTATCAAATAATAGGAATGTTATNAAATATTGCGGAAACCGCTCAGAATATTTTAATGAAATTTTACAGGTTTTGACAGTTAACAACAATACATGTTTTACGATAAAAATATTGTTTTCAGTTTCACCAGTGGCGTGCGCACAAGCATGTCTCTAGATATTGTTATAGAAAAAAATGATACAGCACTGATTTTTCTAAAAATAAAAATTATTTTTGAATTCCTTATTCAATTTGGAAGAGAAAAGGTATCTTGACTGTTTTTC